TGATCAGACTTACAAAAGTGTCATTTCAGAACTTGTCATCATATGCAGTTATCACTGAGATTCCTTAAATTCCAGTCCACAACAAACATAAACATTCTAATTGTTTTGTGGTGCCCTAAAAGGGTAAGTGAAAACTTCCTGTTCACTTCTGTAAGAAAGAAGTCTCAGATCCCTATCTCTTCCTCCTACTGCCTTTAAGGACTGTTGGAGGTCTAGGGAGGCTAGTTGAAGCTTTCTTGTAACAAGCAAAGTAGTCATCCCACCCAATTTGGAAGGATTAAAGCTTGTCCTGGTTTTGCTTGATTGTTTTACTTCTTGTATGCTAAAGAGCTAAAAAAACGGGAGGAAGAAAATACAACAGAAGGCACCATTCCAGTACCAAACTGAAAAGAAACACAAAAACAAGAGAGCAGCATGTTTTAAACAGCTTGCATGGAAAAAATATTGACTGGAGAGTTTGGACAGCACTGTTCTCATTTTCTCTCACCGCCCGCGTTATTTGTCTTTGGAAGCAGCAGCCAACCACGATTCTGGAAAAGAGGCCAAAGGAAGAGGTGGAGGGGTTCAGTGTAGGCTTGAGGCCCAGTGGAGGAATTAGGGCCTCAGACCCGGTGGTTCTGAGCCAGGAAGAAGTTGGGGGAGGCGCTAAAGCCTTTTTCCTCTTGGCCTTGGGCACACTTTTTGACCTGCCCGAGTCCTGTAAGATCACAGCACGGATCGCTCAGGTCTCTGATTCCTTAAGAAGACCACAACTGTAGGATAAATCCCTGCCCCTGTTTCTTTCTCCCGGGGAAAGGTCGCAAGGGTTCCATTCGCTTTCTCAGCCCACCCTTCTTCTGGAGTTCAGATCTACAACTCCTGCAACGTAGGACAGGTAGAAGTCTCCATCAGCATCCGCGGGGAGCGGCCCTGGGTCAGCGGGGGGAGATGGAGACGATTCACTGTATCCGATTGCGGTTTTAATCGACGAGCTCCGCAATGAGGATGTGCAGGTACAGTACTAGACTGAAGCTGAGTAGCCTAGGCAGGCCCAGGGGGCGCGTGGTAGGAAATGGGGAAGGCCACCCTGCCTTGTGGGAGAGGCCCAGGCATTGAAACGGGGAGCGGCCCTGGGTCAGCGGGGGGAGATGGAGACGATTCACTGTATCCGATTGCGGTTTTAATCGACGAGCTCCGCAATGAGGATGTGCAGGTACAGTACTAGACTGAAGCTGAGTAGCCTAGGCAGGCCCAGGGGGCGCGTGGTAGGAAATGGGGAAGGCCACCCTGCCTTGTGGGAGAGGCCCAGGCATTGAAATAAGAGCCGGATTTGGAGCAGAAATGGGGGGGTGCGGGTAGGACCCTAGAGGGTTGCCGTGGCCTGCCCTTACCCTCCCTGAGACCTCTTTAGCACCCCTTACCCCGGGCCCTGAGGCGTGGGCGCGGCACCCGGCTGCCCGGGAGAACAGGTTTCCCGCCTCTGTATCCCTTGCGGGCGGTGCGGTGGTCTCGCCGCGAGCGGCTGAAGCTGCCTGCGGATTTCAGGATGCCGGGGAAGCCCTTGGAAGAGCAGTCGTCTTCCTTTCCGCCTTGGAAACTGGCTGGGCTTGTTAGGTAGAAAGGGTGAGATGGCTGGTTAACCTGATTAACCTGAGTCGGTCTGTCAGCTCTGGTGGCACTTTTCGTTGAAGAGATGAGTTAATATTGAGCCATTTCACCTGCTTCACTATTGCCATCGTTACCTTTTAAAAATTATCTCACTTCCTGGGTATTGTCATTCATTCATTTCTGTTCTAGCTCTTCAGGTTTTTCCTTGAAAATTCTCCTTTGGCTAATGAGTGTCAGTTACCCCCCTGGTTTCTATTACCATATTCGTTATTTTGTTTGCCCCTTTTGTTTTTTGGTCTGAATTGCAACCATTTCTTTAATTTGTTGGCCTTCCCACTTTACTTTTTTTAAAGCTCCGACTCAACAGTATTAAAAAGTTGTCAACAATTGCTCTAGCACTTGGAGTAGAAAGGACCCGAACGGAACTGCTGCCATTCCTTACAGGTAAGTGTCTTGTTTGAAGTATCACTAAATACTGAACTGAGGCTGGTGCTTTTTGTGCACAAAACAAAGAACAAAACAAAACCAAAAAACAGAACAGGGCGTATAATAATGTTACAACTGGATGTATTCAAACATTAACCAGTTAGGAAACTGGAAAGTAATTGATATGGGAGCATGAATTTCCAATTAATTCTGTAAAACAGATTCAGGAGGACTGCTTCTTGAGAAGGAAGAAAATGCTGTTAGGATTGGGACTGCACTGTCTTACTATGTACTTGCTGGATCTGTTCCAGTATTTGTGTGAATGCCCAGCTCAGGGCCACTTGTCTTTTTTTTTGAGACAGGGTCTCACTGTGTAGTTGAGACTGACCTGGAACTCACTATATAGCTCAGGCTGGTCTTGAACTCACAGTGATCCTCCTGCCTCAGCCTCCCAAGCTCTGGGATTACAGTCATGCACCACCATGCGTGGCCTACTTGTCCTTTTTTTTTTGGTACTGGGGATCCAACTCGGGTCCTTGTGCTTGAGAGGCAGGCACTGGACCCACTAAGCTAAATCCCCAGCCCTCCACTTGTCCTTATTTATGAGTACTCAGTTGTTGTCATTTCTAGATACAATTTATGATGAAGATGAGGTGTTGTTAGCGCTTGCTGAGCAGCTGGGAAACTTCACTGGCCTGGTGGGTGGTCCAGACTTTGCCCACTGTCTGTTGGTGAGTACTATCTACTGTCTGCCTTGCCTTTCTTCTAGAACTTTTATAGTATAAATGATAAATTATTTGGTGAGAGACATAATACAGCATTTTTTTTGCAGATCTTTATGGACATACAATCATAATGCTAGCAATTGAGAACATAATGTAGGCACTTTGAACTCAATCCTTTATTTTTTCTGACTGATAAAAACTTTTTCTTTTAGCACAGTAAACCTATTAGTTCAGAGGAGAGAAGGAAGGAATTTGATTATTTTTGTTCCATCCCCCCAAAATTGAAAGTCTTCATTTTTTTCTTTTTTTAAAATTTTTTATTTTTTGGTACTGGGGCTCTAACTTGTGACCTTGTGCTTGTGAGGCAGCCAGCTGTACCACTGAGCTAAATCTCCAGCCAGGTTTTTTGTTTTTTGTTTTTTGCTCTGTAATTCAGGCTGATCTCAAACTCCTGGAGATCTTCCTGGGATTGGTGTGTGCCACACCTAGCTAGGAAATTGGAAGTCTTAATTCTCATCTAGTAATATTTTGCCTTTATGTCTATCTTTTGCACCTGACTAATCTTTGTGAATTTAATGAGTTCAATTTAGTTGGCGTGTTACCTGATTATATTAGGCACATTGTAAGTTACAGTATCAAGAAGACCAGTGTGAATTCAGTGTGGTCTCTTTCTTTTTAACAAATAATTAACTGTATAGTTAAGTGGAAAAATAAAGGCATATATAAATCACCTATGTAATGGAGAGCAGAAAGGATTTATTTAGGGTGGTCAGGGAAGAAGATGTCTGAATTACGTTTTAAAGGATGCCTAAGAATTCAGCAGTTGGACAAGGTGGGGATATACACTTCAAGGCTTTTAATAGTGATGCTGCTGGCTCTTGTCATTTATCCCTGCCAACATCTGTTCCATGAGACACCAGAGAAGTATGGTTAAATAAGTATAGATATATAGAAATCAATAATTTTAGAAGTTTCTGTAGATATTTATCTGCTTGTGATTTTCCTACTTTAATTTCAAACAGTTATTTCAGATTTAACATGCCAAAACTCTCCTTAAAATAGGCCTCTCATTTAGTTATGTCACCATCTACCCAAGTCTAGAATTTTTCTTTTTTCTTTTTCTCCTGGTATTGAATTCAAGGTCTTCCACATGCTAAGCAAACCACAGTACCCAGTGGATTGTATCCCTAGACCTAGAATAGGACCACTTAGCCCTACTTTTGAATCCTTTCCCCTTTCTTCCTCACATATAGTTCATTAGTAATTTAGAGAGTCTACGTATAGTCCAAATCTGTTCTCATTCCTCCATCCCTACTGCTACTGTCCTAGTCTAAACCCCACAACCTTTTTTCTCTAGGTTATTGTTGTAGCTTCCTAACTATAGACATTCAGTTTAGGATTTGTTGACTTTACAATGCTGAAAAATGATACATAGTCCGTAGAAACTATACTTTATGTTTTGCATTTTGATCTTTTCCCAGGCTAGCAAACAGTACAGTACTCTCATGTGTTCCACAGCATTGACAGCAAGCTGCATCTCTAAGTCAGCCACAATCTGATCACAAGGCTAAACAACTGATACTTGTACTGTGTGGTTAACCTGATGTTTGTAGGTTGTGTGTAGTGAGTGCATTTATTACTTTTTTTTTTTTTTTTAGTACTGGGGATTGTACTTGTGAGGTAGGCACTATACCACTGAGCTAAATCCCTGGCTCTTGCACTTACTCTTGAGGAAATATACACAATCCTGTCTGAATTTGGCTACACATTATTTAAACTTAATGATTCATTTCCCAGTAATAGTAATATTGTGTCAAATCTCTTCTACTGTGTCATCTGTAGACACCAGCTGGGAATTGCCATCTGGGATATGGATTTTGGCTTTTCTACAGTAGTCGTGTCTTTAGGTTGACCACACCATATGTTATCACTGTGTGAATTGAAAGTAACCATGTGGTATGGTGTAGCTAACATTCTGGCTATGTGTACTGCTTCCTTTCAGTCACATTAAAGGTGACAATCTATAGCTAACCTGATTCAGTGAATTTTCTTTGGTTTTCCTTTTGATCTCTTCAGCCTCCTTTGGAAAGTCTGGCGACTGTGGAAGAGACTGTTGTTCGAGACAAGGCTGTGGAGTCCCTGAGGCAGATCTCTCAGGAGCATACTCCTGTTGCCCTGGAGGCTCATTTTGTACCTCTGGTGAAACGCCTGGCGAGTGGGGATTGGTTTACCTCTCGTACATCTGCATGTGGTTTGTTCAGCGTTTGTTATCCCAGGGCTTCAAATGCTGTCAAGGCAGAAATTAGACAGTAAGATATTTTTAGTATTTATTAGTATTAGGGGTTATTGGGGACTCAGCTGACAAATTACACAGCACAGTACATTGTTTCTAGGGTGTCACTGATGCTAGTATAGTAGAATTAATGATAAATTTTCATTATTCCTTTGAATGTGTCTTTTATTTTTGTTACCTAATCACTGATGTTTGTAAGAGGAGATCTCTAAAGTTTCTGTCTGTATGTGATGAGGTATGTTAAATCAGTAGTATTCAATAGAAAATATTTTCGTTTTATGTTGCAGGCACTTCCGTTCCTTGTGTTCAGATGATACACCAATGGTACGACGTGCAGCTGCTTCCAAATTGGGTGAATTTGCAAAAGTTTTTGAATTAGACAGTGTGAAAACTGAAATTGTCCCTTTGTTCATTAATCTAGCTTCAGATGAACAGGTAAATGACATAGTGGAACAGGTATGTTCCTTCCCTCTAACATTTTAAACATTGTTTTTAATGGTACTGGGGTTTAAATCAGGGTGTGGCACACTGAGCTATATTTTTAGTCCTTTTTAAAAGCTTTTGAGACAGGGATTTGCTAAGTTCCCCAGGTTGTCTTTGAACTTGTGATCCCTCTGCCTCAGCCTCTTGAGTAGCTGGGTTGTTTAGTACCACAGCTAAGCTCATTTAAAGCATTTCTTTGGGCATTTTGTTTCTTATATTAGGATTCGTTTTGGAAAATTAATGGTTAATTCTGGCTTGGTACAACTCATCTCATTATGCTGAAGTTTCTTAACCAGACCATGATTTTTCTCTAGTAGCTGTTAAAAGAAGGGGAAGTTAGAAAAGAAATAGGAACCATAATTAGGAAGACCAAAGCTGCATCAAGGAATAACACTTTTGGGAATTGCAAGCTGTATTGTAATATGGTAGAATAATGTTTCCTGGAATTTTGAATTTCAGATAAATATTAAAGCATAGGACGAATGTGGTAGGAAAGCTATTTGATCTCTGCATTAATGAATGGGATTACTGCATATAACAATAATTTTAATTCCCAAGGATCTAGATTTCTTTTTTGGTGGGGAGTTGGTATTAAGGATCTAACTCAGGACCTTGGGCTTATTAGGCAGGGAGTGGCACCTCTGAGCTTAGTCCCCAGTCCCATTTTTTGTTTTTTTGAGAGGCTCTCACTATGTAGTTCGTAGTAACCTTGAATTCACCGTGTAGATCAGGTTGGCCTCAACTCATAGTAATCCTGCCTCAGCCTTCCAAGTGCTGGGATTATAGGTGTGTGCCACCATGCGGCTGATCTAGATTTCTTTGATGTAGAAATAATAAAATAGCAAGCATTTAAGTAAAATACTTAGTGTAGTCATCTTTCTATATGGAGGAGATAGGGGTTGGTTCTAGTACCATCTAAGGGTAAAAAAAATCTATAGCTGCCCAGTTCCATTGTGTGAGATAGTATAGTGTGTGTGTATTACCTGGGCATGTCTTCCTGTATACATTTTTTTTTTGTTGTTGGGCTAGGCATTGGACTTAAGGTCTTGTACATGCTAGCTAAGTGCTCTACCATTAAGCTACATTCCTGCAATCTTCCATATACTTCTCATCTCTACATTATAATATCTGATACAATTAAATGTTACATAAATAGTTGTTATATTTTATTGATAAGGGAATGATGATAAAAAAGTATGTGTTCAGTACAAAAAAAAATATTTTTCCTGAGTATTTTCAATCCATGTTAGGTTGAATCCATGGATGAGGAACCCACAGATAAGGGGGAGCTGACTGTATATTGACATCTCTTTAAGTAGCTACTGTATTAAGTAATTCAGTCCTCAGAAAACCCCTGTCAGATGGATAACTCTTGTTTAACAAAAGGAAGGCATAAGAGAGTTTAAATAGCTTGCTGAAGATTCTGTAGCTCACTGTGATAAAATTAAGAATTGAATCTAGACCGAGGCTTCCGAGTTTACACCCATTACAACTAGGGTCTACTGCCTCTCTGTCATGGTGCTTAGAAGGGTCAGCTCCCAGAGTTTTTGGCCTCTGAGGGAAGAGTCTTTCTGGGTTTTGTTGGCCTGTTCTAAGATTAGTTCACAGTGTGCATATTAGGAGCACCAGGATACATTGATGAGTCTCACTTTTGAGATTCTGAATTTAAAGGTGATAAATCTTGTAGAATTAAAAAAAATTTGTAAAATAATGTACAAAAACACATAGCATGCAATTTAATAAATTATAAAAAGAGGATCTTTCAACTTTTCATCTGTGAAAGGACACATTGACAGCCACTACCCCAGAAACCCTCCTTAGGCTAGCCTTCCACATATAATCCCCAGCTGTTCTTTTTCCCATTCCTATGTTGACTTAAAACATTGTGGTTTAAAACAGCTAACATGAAATTTTGACTACCTATAATTTTAGGTTTTCTACTGTCTATGTTTTTAAAAGTAGAAAGGAGTGAAATTAATATATTTTATTTAACCCAAATTTCTGAAATCATTTAAGTATGAGGCATTAGCTTCATTTTCAGTACTCAGAATTCACATGAGGATGGTGGCTACCACATTGAACCACACTACAAGTTTAGAATCTTCATTTGGAATTTTGTTCATTAAATTTCCCATGGTATAATGTTTTCTTTTGTCCTCTATATTTCTGCCAAAGTGGTAGTTGTATCTAGAGTGGAGATTTGCACACTTCTTTTGTGAAGTCCTAGATCATAAATATTATAGGCTTTGTGGGTGAGATTCAGTTGTAACTTCTCAATTTTGCTGTGGTAGTGCAAAAACAGCCACAAAGAATGTGTAAACTAATGAATATGAATATGACAGTATTCTAGTAAAACCTTATTTATGAAAACTGTCCTGGATTTGGCCACTATTTTCTCCACCCTTGACCTATAGTCATTTATTTATTTATTATTTATTTATTTTTGGTACCGGGGATTGAACTTGGGACCTTGAGTTTGTGAGGCAGGTAGCAGAACCACTCAGCTAAATCCATTGCTCCCTTGACCTATAGCTGTAATGAAAGTTAGGTTTGATATTTTAGGGCTAAAAAGACAGTTTCATAGTTGGAAGTATGTATGCTACTGTTAGTAGCATTTGATGCTCAAAATATATGAAGTGCTTTGTTAACAAAATATTTACATTCCCTCTGACCACCAGGAGAATAACTGCTTTTGGCTTATTCATTCATTGAAAAAAGTATTTATTGATTGGCACCTATACAATCAGACACTGTTCTGTTCCTGGACTACAGCGTTGAACAAGCCTTAGAGAGATCTTGCTCTCAAGGAGTTTACATTTTATTTTACTTTATTTTTTGTGTTTTTTTTATACTGGAGATTGAACTTGGGACCTTGTGTTTGCCAGATGGGCAGCAGAACCACTGAGGTAACTCCCTGGCAGGATTTTACATTTTAATGGAGAAAATAATAATAAACAGACATATTAGGGATAAGTGATGTGAAAACAAAGTACAGTGACAAAATAGGGAATGATTATAAGGGGTTTTCTAGACTAGCTAGTCAGAGAGGACTCTGGAAAAGTGGCATAAATTGAGACATGAAAGAAAAATGTCATCCATGCCTTTTCCTAGATTGTCAGAGCTCCAGGAAAAGAATTCCTTGAAAAGAGGACATGTTGTATAAAGGTCCTTTGGTTGGAACATAGTGTTCTAAAGAGACATAGTGGTAAGAGATTAGTTGGAAGAAGGTAAGCAAGGCCAGTTCTCTAAGCCAGAATGTAGAGCTTGGGTTTCCTTTTCAAGGTGCAGTGGGACTACACCTAGATTTTGAGTAGGGATGTGACATGATATAATTAATATTTTCAGAAGATCATTGTATTTTGTTTTTGTTTTTTTGGTACTGGGGATCGAACTCAGGTCCTTGCGCTTGTGACGCAGGCGGCAGCACCACTGGGCTAATTTAGCTCAGTGGTGTTGCTGCCTGTGCAAGGACCAGAGTTTGATCCCTGGTACCCTCCCCGAGAAAAGATCATTCTGGCTTCTGGTTGGAAACTGGGAGGAGGGATGAAAATTTAAAAAACCAGTTAGGAGACTTTTACAGTGTGGAAAATCTGCATAGAAGGTTTGGAAGTAGAGTTGAGAAAATTTTTTTACTGTTGGATGAGGGAAATAGTAAATAAGATCTAGATTTTTGAACAGCTGTCTGGTGGTGTCATTGCTGAGATGGAAAGGATTCTGGTAGAAGGGCAGGTGTAGGGGAGAAAAATCGAGTTCCAGAAGAGAAGTATTTGCTGACATATTTCAGTAGATGATGATAGTTTCTTGATTTAGCTTCATTTTCAAAATCCAAAAATATTTGTGTAGCCAATACTAAGAACTAGTTCTACCTTTTTTGCGTGTTCCTTTGGATACAGAAGAGTGAGTCTGTCTTAGGCATATAGGTTATTGTTGTGGATTTACAATATTTAAAATTTATACTATTTTAGAAAGTTGAAGTCTTGTCTCTGATTATATATATGTATACCGGTATGTAATTTTTTTCATCTACATTATTAAGTTTTTGTCCTGTTTCTCCTGGGTGTTTACATGTTCACGTGTTTTCTGTTTCTGCTTGCATATATATAATTCCCAGGTCAACTTAGTTCCTAATAGCATGTTTCCACTTATTCAAAGGACATGTAGGTGTCACATTAGCAATTGGAATTTTACTTTTGGAACTCTGAGTTCATTAGTCCCATGCATTTCAAATTTTTTCTGCTGTTTTTTTAGACATCCTGATCTTGAAGTTAGTTTGTCTTTGATCTTCAACATTTTATTTATTTGTTTGTTTATTTAATTTTTTTGAGGCAGGGTCTTTATAGTGCAGGCTGGCCTTGAACTCACTGTGTAGCCCAGGCTACGGCAGTCCTCCTGCCTCAGTTTCTTGAGTGCTGGGATTACAAGTGTGCGCCACCATAAAACAGTGATCTTCAACATTTAAAATTTTTTTTTATTTGGGGGGGTTTTTTGGTACTGGGGATCGAACTCAGGTCCTTGCGCTTGCGAGTCAAGTGGCAGAACCACTGAGCTAAATCCCTGGTAGCAAATCTTTTTTTAATTACTAACTTCCCATTTGTTCTTTGTATTTCTTTTCTGAATCACAGTCTCATGCCTAAGTTCCTATGATAGCTACTTCAAATTAGTTATTTTGAAAACTGAGCTTCTTGTGTGATTTTCTTTGACCCTTTTTTGTTCTAATGTAAATAACTTATACAAGTGTAATGTTCAGTCTTATTCTTTGACTTCCTATTATAGTAAGGCTTTGAAGGTATCCTTGAAATATTCTTTTTTCTCATTTAATCTTTACATATTCTTTCATTTTTATGGCTTTTTTTTTTTTTTGGTACCGGGGATGGAACTCAAGTTCTTATGCTTTCGAGGCAGGCGGCGGAACCACTGAGCTAAATCCCTGGCTCTGTTCTTTCATTTTTAATAATAAATGCCCTGTACTCTAGCCAAGGTGATTTTCTTTTCACTTTATAACACAGTTCTGTCTTTTCAGCTTTCATATGCCATTCCTGGCAAAGGGAGCAGCAGCTGTTCAGCTGTTTGAAGACTGGAAGATGCAAAATCTCGTGGTGTAGCTGCAATTTTTTTCTTCTTTTTTTAAAACAATATGCACAACAACACTGCTTCACACCATACACTGGCCCCCTTGGCTCTCACCAAACATTGTGTAACAGAACTTTGTCTCTTTAGGACTCAGTGCGCCTGCTAGCTGTGGAAGCTTGTGTCAGTATCGCTCAGTTGTTGCCTCAGGATGATCTTGAGGTCTTGGTAATGCCTACCCTTCGACAGGCAGCTGAAGATAAATCTTGGAGAGTTCGTTACATGGTAGCTGACAAATTTTCAGAGGTAAAATCACCGCACTGGCATTTTTAAGTATTAAAGGAGAAAACCAAAAACCCATCAGATTTGCTGTTACACCAAAAGTTTCTAAATTAATTTTGTTGAATAGTGTTTGGTAGAAATATATACTTGAAGATTACAATTTTATACTTGCTGAATATTTTTAGTATACATTAAAACCTGTTCAAATTTCTTTAAAGCTCCAGAAAGCTGTGGGTCCGAAAATCACCTTAAATGACCTCATCCCTGCCTTTCAGAATCTACTTAAAGACTGTGAAGCTGAAGTCCGAGCAGCTGCTGCTCACAAAGTAAAAGGTTAGCTAGTTCAGTGTGTGTTGCAACATGTCATTGATTTTGGTGTTTTGGTTTTTTTTGTACCGGGAATCGAAGTCAGGATCTTGATCTTGCAAGGCAGGCAGCAGAACCACTGAGCTAAATCCCCTGCCCTTGGTGTGTTTTTTAATGGTGGTGAAGTTTACAGATTTTGTGTTCTTGAATATGTCTCAAATAGAAATAATTTCAGTGTGTGAAAATGTCACATTGTCATATAAACCTTTACATTTCAAACTAAACCATTTTATCTTGTTTCTTTTTAAAATGTATTTATAGGTTAAGCGGCATAGATTGATAGATAATTTCATTTACACTGAGTTATTTTCCTTAAATATTTGATGTAATTTAACTTGTAACTTGATAAAACTTAGTTCTTAATTTGTGTCTTGTAAATGATTCTTTGAGAATTTTTTCTATTTGTCGACTTTTAGAGCTTTGTGAGAACTTGCCTACTAAAGATAGAGAGACCATAATTATGAATCAAATTTTGCCATATATAAAGGTAAGTGTAGCTTCAGTTTACTTTGTTAAGTTCTGCCCTGTATGAAGGTAAACCTTAACCCAGTTTTGTTTTTTTGTTGTTGCGGCACCGGGGATCAAACTCAGGACCTTGCAAGGCAGCAGCAGTGCCACTGAGCTAAATCCCCAGCCCAACCCAGTTTTGTTTTGTTTTTTTTTTTTTGCCTTTTGCCTTAAAACTCTTGGAGTTTAAAGGTGGACATGAATGGGGTAGTTGTTAAATTGTCACATTATTATTTACCTCTTATTAATACTTATTGTAATGGTAAAATTTTTTTTGATGTTTCGATCTGTTGTCTAATAGATGGTCTGAGGAAACATTGCCAGCCAGTCAGTATTGGAGTAGTGCTGTATTTAAATTCCTTGGGAGATGGTATGGGATTTCTGTTGTATTGCAAAATCGAAAGTCTTAATTTTGATTTTATTTTAGGAATTAGTATCTGATACCAACCAACATGTCAAAATAGCTCTAGCTTCTGTAATTATGGGATTATCTACCATTTTGGGCAGAGAGAATACTATTGAACATCTTCTACCTCTTTTTTTAGCTCAGTTAAAGGATGAGGTGAGTCTTATCTTTAATTTTGATTGCCTTTGATAGTCATCAATTTGATAAGATTTTGGATTAGAGTTTCAATAAAATAGGACCCCAAATATGGAAATGGATTTTAAAAACCATAAATTAAAAAAAATCATAAACTTGTGATAGTCTTTGTGTTTCGATTTAGGGTTACAGTTTCCCCAGAAAATGGACATAGGGTCTCATTAAAGCAAACCTGAAATCATCTATACAAGCCACTGTGTTTGCTTTTGCATAGTGGTCTGTCCTTATACTGTAAGGTGTACTTCTACTTTTTCTTGGCCAAAACTTGTTCTGCAGAGCTTCTTTTCCTAACTTTAATAAAACTTTGCTATCATTAGAAAAAAAAACTATCCATCTTCTCTGTATGATTTTTGCTTTATATTTCTTATCTTTAAAGCCAGTCTTTGCTTAAAAACATCTTTTAAGTTTAAATATAATATCAAGAATTGTAGTAGCTGACATTTATTGAGTGGTTAATATGTGTTAGGTATGATACTAAATACTCTTATTGTTACATGTAGTTCATAAGATTATATTATTTGCATTTTTCAGGTGAAGTTTAATCACAGAGATAAAATAATTTACCTCAGGTCTCAGCAATGGCAGGCATAAGATTTGAGTACATGTAATTTAGTTCCTAAGCCTGTGCTTTTTACCGTCTATCTCAACTGAAAATTCTAGTTAAGATCAATTATATTTATTGTCTTGAATTATTTGTATATTCAGTATTCAGCATTTTTTTAAGGCTATACTTTTTTGTGGTCTTATGCTATTAAGCAAGTACTTTATTGAATTATATCCTCAGCTTTTTTTTTTAATGAAAGTCTATACTTTCTAATTTGAAAATTTACGTAATAGTTTTTACCTTATTATGACAGGACAATTTTGTGCACAGGGCATAATTTTTACATGTGGTCTTGGGGGCTTGTGTATTTATAGTGTCCTGAAGTTCGTTTGAATATCATCTCCAATTTGGATTGTGTTAATGAAGTTATTGGAATCCGTCAACTCTCTCAGTCTCTTCTTCCTGCCATAGTGGAACTGGCTGAAGATGCCAAGTGGCGGGTGCGGCTGGCTATCATTGAGTATATGCCACTGCTGGCAGGCCAGCTGGTGAGTATATGCTTGATGAACTGCAAGGTAGTATCAGAGAGTGGAGTTTACCATGACAAGTAGCAGGCCTGGATAGCCTCCATGATTCTGTTCATTTAGATGTGTGAAAGTGTGCTCCTGTCCTTGTTGCCTTGGGGTCTTTTTGTTTGTTTGTTTTGTTTTCCTTTAGTGCGTTAACTTGTAACATGTTATTACAGAAACATGTTTTACTTTATTGCCACCTAAAAAAACCATAGAAGAATAATCAATTTACTGGTATATTAAGCATAAACTTTGTAATATTTAGTGCCTGTATGACTTAAGGATGAATCAGTGAACAAGAAAATTATGGTGTCAAGTTAACTCAGTTTTGCTCTT